TAGAGGTGACCTGCTGATTGCTGCGGCCGGGGTTTCCCTCCCTCTGTGCGTCTGCTTCACGTTTCCTTTCCAAAGGAGCAAGGGCTTTGGGCAGGCAGCAAGGCAGGGGCAGAGCAGCAGCAGTGACACCGGAGCAGACTCACTTGTGGAGCCAAATCCATTGTGGTCAATGGCTACGCTCTGGAGTAGCAGCTCACTCCGTGCGTGTCCGTACCACTGTGATGTACCCGCAATAAATTATCACAGTTGCCAGTAGCGTGTTTCTGTGCTCTGAACGTAGGGCTGCATCTTGCACGAGGTGCAGCACGAATGTGGATGGAGGGTGGGAGCTGCAAGGGGCAATGCTGTTTGGTCTGTCCAGAAGACTGGAGGGGGTTGCAGAGGGAAAGGTGGAAAACAAGGGGAGAGGGAAAACGAGAGATGAGGTGGTACCAGAGATGTCTACTGCTGCAGAGGCAGGACACCAGTGGCTGCATCCCCTACAGTAGCTTCATCTTCTCGGGGCCAACACATAAAGCCATCAGCGTGCCACAGACCCTCTGTAGAAAGCTCCTCAGCTGCATCCCCTACCTGTGCAAAGAGGTCAGAGGGTGTTTGATGGGTCTCCTTAACCGTTTACTTTCACCTGACACAGCTGTAAAACTAAAGCCTGCTGCACGCACCTGGGTGACCATCAGCATGGACCATCAGCCTGGACTAACACACCTGGCATCCTGACAGAAGCCAGCCCCCTGCTACAGCACTGGTTAAAAAACGAGTTCACCGCTGGTTTAATCCCTGCAGCTCACTGCTCTGGGCGCGTGACCGCTCCGAAGGAAGCCCCCCAGCCAACACCAGCATTCCTGTGGGAAGCAAAGTCCTCACTCCTGCACAAGGTCCCTTTCGAAACCCGCACTTTGCTCGCTGAGAGGAGAGGAAGGAGCCGGAGGAGAGAGATCATCCCTCATTCTCATGCTGCCTCGGCTTAGGGCTGGCCCGAGAGCCAAGGGGGCAGAGGTGGGGGCTCAGCCCTTCCTGGGGAAGATAAAGGGAGGGAAAACTCCCTTGAGAAACAAGGCTGAGAGTGCAGTGTGCCATCCAGTGGCTCCAGCCCAACCCAGGTGCTGTCACTTGTCAGGCACTGACCTGCACTCCTGGGAAGCCTTTGCTGCTTCGTGTTTTAAAGCAGGCTTTAGGTATTTGGACATTTCACTTCCTGGAAGCACCACAGAGAACAGGGCAAAGCCATTTTATCGGGAGGGTCGGAAGAACCAGATTGTCTCCCCAAACCACATCCTACTGCCCGCATATCACAATGACACACAGCATTGCAAAAGCTGTCTAGAAATGACCAGTCGTCTGTTAGGTGGGAGGAAGGAGCAAAGCACCACATGCTCACCTGCTGCAGCCAGAGCACCCCGAGAAGCAGGTTGGAGGTCTCCTCCTTCTGCTCTCCATCACAGCAATGGGGTACATAGCAGAGCACGCAGCAGCAGTGGCTCTGCAGCACCCCAGGGCCCTGTGCAGGCCTGGCTGTTGGGGCCCCAAGAGTCCCTGCAGGGAACAAGCCCTAGGAACATCTGTCCAAGGTGTTGGGACAAAACCTCACCTGTATGTGTGTGTCTGTGGGTCTCCCCCCTCCTCCTGTGCTGCTGACAAGAAATCTGTGCTTGGTCAGAGCAGAGCCAGCAGCAGCAGGTAGAAGGGTGTCATTACAACACAGGGTCATGGTATCAGCTCAATAGGCAATTACATGTTTCAGATCCCCAATTAATGAAGAGAACAGAGGGTTTGGCTGCAGGAAGTCAGCAGTTGTCCCTCCTCTTTACTACTTTAAGTGCAGGCTCCGTCTTCCAAAAGCCTCCCCGTGTTCCTGCAGTGGGAAAGGTCTCAGAGAGATTCAGGGCTCAGGAGAGATTCTGGCATCAACAATGAATACAAACTCTTCCTCAGGACCTGCCTCTGCCCACCTGCTCCATGCTTGGGCTGTGCTCAGAGGCACTCAATGCAGATGTTTTTTAGCTAAAGCACATGAAACCCCTGCCCCAGTGGCTTCCCGGGGACCCAAGATGAGCCTGTGCACCGTAACAGTAGAGCGGAGTCAAACCACAAAGGAAACGTTTTCATTCTAACATAGAACAAATGCTTTTATTGCACTTTCAGAACAATTCTGCATAGTCTGAACAAACAGGGTCCCAACAACCACCACAGCCCAAAGGCAAGTACAGGTGCCCACTGAGGAAAACGCAAACAGGGCACTTGTTTTACAGAACATCAACGCAAAAAGCCCAGCACCGCAAAAGAAGGAGCCCATTCTAGCCCCCAGTGGTTGTCAATGCTCATCTGGTACTGAGCCCCCCCTGAGTGAAGAAAGATGTTTGAGGGGCGGATGTTTTTTGGATCCCCCTTAGCCAGGCAGAAGAGAATCTCCTCCTCTCACTGCCTTCTCTGAGGAAGACTCCTGCGTATCTTCTCCTGCTAGTTAAAACACAAAAGCCCCAAACCTGCTTGACTTCACCAGAATACTCAGCTGCCCACAGGACAGAACGGGAGCCACCTTCCATCCCTGCTTCCTCATGACACAGCCCCGGCTCCTGCTAGCAGGAGTTTGGAAGGACCTCGACCTGTGCTAGCTCATCACTCAGGATGATATGAAGGTGTTGGACAGCCCAACAGCAGCTTGTGGCCGCTCACCAGAGGAGCAGACCCTTGCTCTGGTGCTGTCCCAGGCCCCGGGATCTGTGTCCAGCAAGCTGCGGAAGCAGAACCCCCCTTCGTGTGGTAACGGTTTGTCTCTGAAGTGCAATCCTGCTTGTTTTACTGGTTCGTACGCACAAGGAACAGAGCTCTGAACATGAGCCGCCCCTTCTCCTCCCGCTCCCTCTGCAGCGCTGCCGGCGGAGGACGCCGCGCCGGCACCGCGGCACGCAGCCACAGTCTATTTCACGGCGACGGTTGAGGCGCCGTGGATGGACTCCATGACGGCTGCAAACCGGCTGCACAGGTCGTAGGGGGAGTTGGGCCGGATCTTTGGTGGCTCCTTCAGGAAGATGACCTCGCTGGGGCAGTCAAGGAGCCGGGGCAGGACTTCACCCAGCCTCATCTGCAGCTTTGCTGTCGAGGGGAGAGGAGGAGACAGTCAGTGGCACCGCAAGAGTAAGACACCAGATGGCTCTGGGGCTGTGGGCTACAAAGCCATGATGGAGGGTAAAGAATCATCTTCTGGCTGCTAAGGGCAGGGGTGAGTGGTGTCAGCCCCCAGCCCTGCCTGGGGCCCACAGAGCAGGGACACCCCGGCTGCCCTGCAGCAGAGCATTAGCTTTCCCAATAAAGCCAGCTCCAAACCACCAAGCCTCTCTTCAGAACACAAAGACACCCCCCCCCCTCCCAGATCTGCTTCCCCATCCAGGCTTCTGCAGCTCTCGTCATGTTTCTGGCCACTGCTAAATCCCCTTGCTCCCTCCTGAAGGGGAGTTCAGCTCTAGACACTGCCCTGCCCACAAAGCCACAACGAAGGTAAGGCCAGCACCAGTCCCTACCATCCATGTCTTCGCGACCCAAGTAGGAGCACCAGCGGTTTCTCATGACCTCGATGGCATCCATGTCCTCTCTGGAGATCTCAAAGTTGTTCATGAGGTGCATGCAGGGGATGATCAGCTCGTTCAGGATGCTAATGCCCTCTGCCACACGAGCTTCTTCACAGCTTACAAACATAGATGCTGCCACCTCGTTCAGCTTCTGGGGGAGGAGGGAGAATGAGGGGACAGAGTTGTGACAAGCCAGCACTGAGCACATGCTGTCAGGAAAGGCCACAGCTCGGGGCCCCTCACTGACGGCCATGCAGAGACAGACAGAATCAGTGCCAGGTTCTGCTGGAACAGTCACCTTCAAGCACAGGATCACACCACAGAAAACAAACTGGGGTCTTGGCAATCACAAAGCGTGAACTAAATGCAAACCTCATTTTGACGCTGTTGTTTTGCCCCCTGAGGAACAGGACATCACCATTTGCTCGGAGAGAGCAGGCCATTAATATCCCAAATAAATACCGGGGGAGAGGGACAGGAATAGACAGAAAACAACGTGACCATTGAGTTAACACAAACATCAATTTAAAAGCCAAGAGCATGCTCAGCAGCACCCAAACCTTCCCCAAACATGTGGCATGTTAATTACACGTGATCCTAAAAGGGGACACCCCTAAAAGGAGTCTGACTCCTTGGGCAATGCCCATGAGCAGGGAAGTGAACTGCAGCAGGGGCTGCTCCCTCCCCTCCTCCCCGGGAACAAGCATACCAACCAGGAGACAATTCCTTCTGTACAAGGCAATCAGGGATTCGCTCACTCCTCTCTTGGTGCCTTTCTGCAGCAGGTTGGTGTTGCTCTGGTAGGCGTACACCAGGTAGGTGAGTGACTCCTGGTACCTAGGAGAAGAGTGTCACCTCAGGAAACACTCTCCTCTTGGCCTGGATGGTAACTACCATCAAGCCCAACAGGAAGAACTTCATTTCACTGCCAAAGCCTAAATGAACAGATGCCCTCTGCCCAGGAATTAATGTCCCTTTTTGCCCAGCGTGCCAAATGAGCACCTCAGGAACAGCCCTTTAAAGCCAAGTTTGAGTATGATGTGCCTGGAGCTTTCAGGATTGCTCCAGGACATTTGCCCTGTGATTGCTCAGAGCAGTGCAGCAGCAACGTGTTCACTTCATACACACATTTCTAGTCTCTACTCCCCTGGTGAGAAAACAGCAGAGCTGATAGGGATTAGGGCAGTTCAGGGGAGCTCTAACACACTCTCACACCCCGCCTCTCGGCAACCTGCCCACCTGAATTTGGTGTCTCATCACTTCTAACCCCCTCAGGACTCGATTCTGCCTCCATCCACAAAGAACTTCTGAAAGCCAGTTTATTTTCTGGATTGGAAAAATCCATTTCCCAATTACAAATATTTCAAAAACTGGCAATGTCCTGCTCCACACGGCACTGCGTTCATGTAAAATACAGGTTCTGAAACAGTAAGGAGGAAACCAAGGCCCTTTTTTAAAGTTCTTAAGAGTCTAGAATACTCCAAAGCACGTGTTTACACAAAGTGAAATGTCCAATTCAGGAGAGTTTAGTTTTAATTTGGGAACCCAAAGGGGGCACTTATTCCTGCAAACCCATCTCTGGGAATGCTTCACAGTGGATGAATTAGGGGGAGCTCCAAGAACCTGCCAGGCAGCTCACCAGTACCTGTGCATAGTATCTAAACTGCTAAGCAAGGCTGACTGTGGATTCCAGAAAGGGCTATCAGCACGCTACAAGGAAGCCCACTGGCCTCATCATGAATCAGAAAGATGAAGTTTGTCCAAGTGGCTTTTACTGTCAGACCACAGCTTCTCTCGTCCAAACACAGAGTTGAAGTGACTTACTTCCTGTTTTGGTACAGCTCCAGCCCTGTCAGCAGGTAAACGGACACCTTGCGGAAGAGACTGTAGTCCTCGTGCCATCTCTGCGAGGGAGCAGAGTGTCAGCGTCACCCGCAACACACACACGTGCTTCCCGTTCCTTCCCAGCGCCAACGCGTGTCGCACCGTACCCTCTGAAGGGCTCAAACGCCTCTCATAAGTGACACATAAATCAACGCAGTGAACTGCACAGACATTCCTCCCAGCTGAGGAGATGTCCCGTGTGTTCTGCCTCCTGCTCAGCTCCCTTCTGCAGACACCGAGAGGTGCTGACAGCCGCGCCAGCGACTGCTCCCCGCCTGGACAGTGCCAGTTGTGACAGCTGAGGGGTCAAGGGCAGCACCAGGGTCCCTTACCTTGTACTCCTCCATATCGACATCGTCAGGACCGATTTCTCTCAGCTTTGCTCGTGCTACCTTCATGATGCTAATGGACCTGCTCCATGCAAGCAGAGAGGAGACAAAGATCAGAGGAGTGGCCCCAAGAAGAACCTCATCTCAGAATCAGGGCACAAACCTTTCGTCATAGCTGAGGTTTTTGTCTGCAAACTGCTCGAGGAGGGTCCGTTCCACGACCTGCTGCGGAGCGTTGTTTTGCAGGAAGTAAATGAGCACGTGCTGCAACCGGGCGTCGTTCTGAGGGGTTGGGGTCTCCTTGGAAAGCAGGTAGAGCCGGGAGTATTCCTCGTGGAATGCCTGCCAAGAAAGTACATGGGCTAACACAGGCACAGCTGCCTCAGGCAGCTCTGGCAACCCTCCTGCAAGTGCTCGCCTTGTAAAAATCAACTGCAACACGCTTGTATCTGTAGTGAGGTGCAAGACTACCTTGTGATTTATGTTCCTGTAGATTAACAGCACAGGTTGCTTCTCCCATGTGGCACACTTTGTTCAATCTACCTGCCTGTAAAATCTAACCCCAGCTTCAATATGCAGCAGCACTTACTCCTTCAGATCCCTCTGCTCAACACAGACATTTCTCAAGGACACGTTTTACAAGAGAGGTCACAGTAAGTATGTTCTGGACCAAGAAACAAAACTTCATGAGTGCTGGTTTATTCCCTGTCTAGACAACAGGTTCTGAAAGGCACCCAAAGAAAGGCTACTTTGTGGTATCCAGGCCGAGGGAACTGCTGATGCTAAACGAATAAGCAGGAGAAATAGTGGGAAGTAGAAAGAGAAAGGCATGCGGTGGTTTCTCCTGGGAGGAGGGGGGTTCTTTCTTACATGCTCTAAAAAACTGTTTAGAACCCACGGATCTATTGTCACAGTAAGAGCAGAAACCACAACATAGGACAGCGAGGCTGTTAGCTAGAAGGAAAACTGCACAAATCATTCCCTCCCCATTCCTGACATGTCAATACAGCATAATCCTTCCTTCTGTGAACACGGGTATCCATACGAGTGGATTTAGCAAGCAAATCAGATACCTTAACGAGCCCTGCTTCAGACCCATCCCGATCAAAGGTCTGGCGGGCTTTTGCAATAGCCAGGATGACACCTTGCATGGCTGGACTCAGCATCACCTACCAGGAAAGCAGGGAAACAAACAGGAACAGGAAACACAGTAACAGACAGGGAAAGAAGAGAAGGCATGGTGAAGAACAGAGCAACTTTCACAAGAGAAGGAAACTGCATGAGTACAGGCAGAATAAGCCAGAGCTGCCATTTCCTGATGTACTACTTACTCCACCAATCACATGCACTTTACATGCAGAAGTGGGCTTTAAGTGCTTAAAGGTCTAAAGGATGCTTATTCCACACCTTGAGTTTGTAAATTCAACAGGTGAGAACATAAAGCTCACAAGCCATGTGCCCTCTGGGCAAGTTCAATCTTCTTCAGCCATGCAAAGGAGGGAGCAGTGCCTGTGGTGGAGGAGCTCATGGTGCCAGCTCCACACAAGCATGTCTTAAATGTACTCAAGGAGTAACAGTCACTTGTGAAAAAGACTGAGCTTCCACAACGCTGCTCGGGTGTGTATGAGCGTAGTTAAACGGGCAGATTCAAAACCTCAGCAGCCGGATGCTGTAAGTCATGCTGTCAGCGGTTAATGTCTTTGAGAGAGGGCACGAAACTCTAACTGGAGACAGCGGAGAGGCTTGTAAATAGATTAATACAGCTGGGTTCAACTTTGATACAGCTGTGCCAGAATGACGACAAAGTGCAGCTCTAAGGACTGGGTGCTTTTACCGTGCTGATTTTCTGGAGGCATTTAGACACAAAGTTAGTCAAGGATTTGGTCCAGCTGTCTCCATTCCCACAGTGGGAACAGGCTCTTTGCAAGCGGCAGTGTTCCCACGAGAGGTTGCTATTGCTCCCAGCCTTAGCAGAGCTCAAAGCCAGCTGACTACAAAGACAGAGTTTAATGACCAGCAGCAATCAACCCCTGCACTGGATCTGTACCTCCTCATTATATCCGTCTGCATCAGATCTAACGGGAATCTTCCCCACACTGGGGATTTCCACCTCAGAGACCTGTGAGCTAGTGTGGGCAGCAGGCTCTGCTTCCTTAGCGTCCTGGGGTTGTTCTGCCTGACCTGTAAGGGCTGTTTCTCCCAGCTGGGCCTTCACTGGCTCTACCTCCTTGGGCTGCAGCCAAGAAGAAAAAAGAAGAAAAAAGAGTAAGCAGCAGCAAAGTAAAGTACAGGAAAGCAGAAGGGCGCCGAGTGAACGTGGCACAGCTACAGCATTGCACAGACATGGAGAAAGCAGGAACACAAGAGCAGAGTGGGTCGTGCCCAGGGCTGGGCTTGGCTCCTACCTCGCAGAGCGCCGCCTCGACGCCGTTCCTGTCGTAGGTGTCGGCGCTGTTGGCGATGGCTTTGGCCGTCTGCTCCTGCGCGATCCTGGCGTGCTCTGAGGACAGGGAGCACACGCAGCCCGACGCCTGATCTGTGCGGCACAGCGGGGCGTTAGCGAGCACAGCCTGCAGCATTGCTCCCCCTCTCCCATAGCTTCTCTGCGCAGGATGGAGCGGCTGCTGCAGTCATCCCGGAGGTGAAGGCTTGTGCATGCCCCTTTTCCATGGGTCTGGCATGTGCCACCATGGATTGCCAAGTAATGCGCTCCCTCTCCAGAGAACAGCACTTGAAACATTTCCACTTGGTATTACAAGAAAAAAACCACTATGGCAGTGAAGTGAGAGTAGCCCATTACCATTAAACGAACAGAAAACAGAATTTCTGGTGACAAGTCTGGAAGGATGCACGTGCAAAGCCAACAGAACAGCCTCTCTCATTGCTGGGACAGAACCTCCCCAGCTGCCTTTGCTACTTCACCAGCACCTCCCAGGTAGGGAGGACTTTGTGCAAGGCTCCATCAGCACAGTGGGATTTCTGACCAGCTCACATTATGCTACTGGTTTCAACATGGTTCACCAGTTCAGATGTGGCGTTACCTGGGCCTGATTCAGAAGAGAGATCCTGCGAGTCAGAAGTGGGTGAAGGCTCCATCTGGGGAATCTTGCAGGACTGTTCCTCCTCCCACTCCTCAGCCTCCTGCTCGAGCCGCCAGTTGTCCTCCTGGATGTAGTGCCTCAGGTCCAGGGGCAAGTCTTCGACTTCCTTCTGAAACTGTCCAACCTCGGGGCTGGCTTCCTCATCTGGAAGAAACAGGACTGGCACATAACGGGACAGAGTAGCAGGGCACCACCGCTGGGGCCTGAGTGTGCTGCAATCAAACTGGGTGAGGCATAAACAGGGAAAACCCCAACTTTCTACGAGCTTTGTGTCTTAGGATGTTTCATTAAAAATAAGTGCAAAAATAAAGACAAATCTCCAGCGCTACCTGCAACAAAACCCAGTTTTGTTCTACACTGGACAGCATTTACCACAGAGTCCAGAAGCAGCACCTGCTGATGCAGTAGGTCAGAAATGCATCCTTACTCAAGGGCTACAATTGTACAGAGAGTGGTATTAAAACTGCCAATAGCTGGAAAATTCACGACTCGGATGGAGACATCGTACCTATGACCCTACACAGCAGATAAAGGTGGGGAACTGTGCGGACTCCATGGCACGAACGTCATCCTGGTGTTTTTCAACACCTTTCAGATCTACTTCAGCACTGGTTTTAAAATGGCACAAAACCCCAGTAGCGTCAGCTTGAGACAAGCCCTGAAATTTATCAAAAGCACATGGCAGTTATCTACACTGTAGATTTCTTATGCAGCCATTGTAAAAGCATCTTTAAAAAACCAACAAAATTGCACTAAATAGGAAAAAAGAAAAACCCCAAACCAAACCATGGGTTCGTTTCAGCAACAGAACTCTCACAGGCAGCCAGACAAAGAATGACCTCCAAATCCTCATCAGCCATATTTAGTGATGAACGGGATGACAGTTCTCCATTGTTTCTTCTCTTTAATACATCAGAATGAACCACGCATGAAATTATTGGGTTCTTCCACAGCTGTTTGCCATGTATAGTGCCACGTGCACAGTAATTTCTCCACATAACTATTTATACATTGGCACTGCACACATACTTGCAAATCTAAGCCACTGGCACCAAAAACTCATGCAGTAGGAAAGGCTGCATAAAAATCCAGCTCCCTTAGGTTCAATGTAATGGGATCACTAAAAAACAAGCCAACGAGTCAGAAAGTGATAAAAACAGGAGAAAGAAAGCTGGAGGCGTTTCACAAGCCCTTATAAAAGAAACACTGTCATATAAACTACAAGGAGAATCAAAGTGAAAACCACCAGCACTAGAGGCATGTTGAAAGTGGCAAACAGGGAGAGCTATGTGTTAACAACAGGTAAAGTACTGTACCTGCTCTCACCAGTACAGTTCTTTCCTCAGGTTTCAACCCTACCAAGGATTTAGAAAGGAATCAAGCGTGGAGCAAATTATTTCACTTCTATCTGGGGTAAAGTTTTTTGCACTGTCAAAGGACAACTGTGCCAAAGGGAAGCTGAGGAACGTAAGGAGCACGCTGGCTAGAGCGACACAGTGATAACCAAAGTGTGACTAACCAGCAGCTCTGGTGCCAGTACCTGCCACAGGGTGGGACACCTCCTCACTGATGTACATCAGGCAGTAGGCACTGGCATTCTTCAAGCCCCCGAATGAATCTCTCTCCAGCTCTTCCCATGAGGATTCCGTCACGGAGATGTCATTGTATTTGAGCCAGCTTTTCCGAGGCTGATCGTAGATGAAGGCCCAGTAGTGACCAGCGTTCGCTTGCCCTTCGTGTACCAGGACTGCGTGCAAGCGATAGGGAACCTGCAAGTGCATGTGGACAGTGTTCACAGGGATTCCCAATAAAGGATCTTCTCTGACCTCTGTGCAAAATTTACAAGTATGTAGCTGTAGCCTCGTGCAAGACTCTTGATTCACTTGGTAAATATTCCTACAGGGTGTGAACTGACTTGGACAGGGAAAAGCAACAGGATTTTCATACAGAATCCTTTCTCTGCTTCACCACTGGGGTTTTGAAATACAATAAGGTGGAGAATTCCAACCAACAGCTACTAACAAAAAAACCAGAATTAGTAACATCACTTTAACATTTGCCCAATGCAGGTGCATTTCCTACCTGCTGGAGGAGAGGGTCGCAGTATATTTGTTCAATGGACAGGCTGATTCTGGCAATAGACTCCTTCAGATCTGCCAAGAACATCACAAGTGAGAGAAATACATCAGAATTCGTGACTGCTCATCAGCCTATTCCAGCCCCTGTCACCTCAAAGTTCGAACCCTGCAGCAACTATCAAAGACACTTGACACCAGAGTTGAAGTGTGTACAAGGTTATTTCTCGTTCAGGGTGTATGTGGCTGGAGCAACAGAGGGGAAGTCAGGCTGGCACTCAACAGAAAGATCACGACAAGTATGTTTGCGGCCAACCTTGCACATCTTGCTCGATCTCATTTCTCCATCGCTCTAGACAGGTCCGAACCAGGTTCAGCTCCTCCTCAGAAACCATGTGAGGAGCCGGATGCTCAGACATTGCTAATGCTGCACCAGAAAGCTGCAGAGGAGCACTCGAGTCTTGCTGCGGTGAAGAGAAAGCTCCATCTTCTGTCCTACTGTCCCTCCTTTCTAGTATGCTGTGAAGCAAAATCCAAGAGTAGTGGACAAATAAAAGTCAGAACTCTTACAGAACTCTGCAAGCAAAGATCCACAACGAGCAGTTCTAAAAATCCCTTCCCTTACTACAAGAAACTCATGTATTTACTCAGCTTAATTTAGAGTGTAAACCAACCATGCTGGCCAGGCTTGTAATAATCCAATATTGCAGTAATTTACTGGTTGATGAAGCAAAAAAATTAGTAGCCTAACCAGAAAGAGCATATAATTTAACTCAGAATTGCTGCTGAGACAAGGAGCATGGTGATGCTTTTGGTACAGGAAAAGGAACAGACTAGATGCAGCGTTATATTTAAACAAACAGAACCAAATCAGGAGCAAAGCAGTGAGCAATGCTTGTATGGGCCTTCAGACAGTCCAGCACCAGACAAGTAACCCGCTCTCAGGGCACAAACCGGGAATGCTGGGCTGAAAGGCAAAGTGTTCTCCTGCACACTGTTCTTACGTCTGTTTACTAACCCCTTTGGCTGTGAAAGCACATCCAAAACACAAGGCTCAGCTTGCAACTGCAGGGATGTTGTCTGAGAGCCCTGAGCAGGAGGAAGAGCTGCAGCTGGCTTTGTGGCAACGAATTCCAGCACATACTGGAGCATGTCGGGCAGTGGGAAGCGGGCTGGGCCAGAGCCGTACTTCATGTACCTACAGGAAAATGCACCAACAAAGGATTGTGAGCGTTAAACCCGAGGGGACAACAGAAGAGCAACAGGGAGGAATCTTCTGGGTCAGACAGAGACTGTTTGAGCAGTGAGGGAATGAGGGGAATACCCAGGTAGTGCTGGGCTCACCCTCCCAGCAGCTGACCTTGAAAGCATTGAGGCTGTGGGGCACTGCTCAGCAGCAGCCAAACACTGCTGTGCTATCAGCATGTTTTAGTCACAAACCCCAGCACAGGACCAAGCCAGCTGCTGCGCAGACCATCAACTCCATCCCAGCCCGTCCCTGCAGGATGCTACACATGGCCTTCAACATGAACTGTTATCATGACACCTCCCAGCCCCTTGCTGAGCACAGACCCCACCAGGGCCACTGCAACACAGCACGCCTCTGCCTGCCGCTTGTTCACAGCACTGTCAGTTCAAGAGTGCAAACTGTGAGTAGGTTTAATGCCAAACAAAAGGACTTTTCCACAGAGCACCTGGTATATGAAATCTGGCTGTCCACAATTGAGGTCTTTCCTATTGATCTCCTTCCTTCCCTAGTCAGTAATGCCAAACCCTAAGCTTGAGAAGACCTCTAATACAAAAAGTAATGTAGATTCTTCTCGGAACAAGCCCGCTCTGTTTCTTCCTCCCCTCCAAGTTTCTCTTCCATCAGAAAGCTCATTTAAATGGAAGCATTTGCAGACTTCCAGGGGGCACAAAAATAAAGCTGACTACTTACCTCTCCAGTTTCTGCTGCAGAATCACCAGTTTCTCACTCAATCTCTTCATCTCTTCTCTCTTCATCTGAATAAGCTCTTTACTGCAATAGAGGTACCTAAGCAGAGAAGTACAGAGCCAGGTGAGATTTGTCTACTTCTAACATTCGCTGTCTTTTGTAACTGTTTTAAGAATCCTTCCCTGCTCACCTGCACAACCTTTTTAATGTCTTTAATGACAGTAAAGCTTTAAACATCCCACACGACCCACCTGTCCATGTAAATGGTCTGGGGAAATTCTAGCTTGGTGTGAATCTTCTCGGGCTGTCCCAGTGACTGATTGAACTCGAATCGGGAGAGCTCAAAGGTCAGCACGGGCGGCAGCTTTGTAAACCAGCGCTGGAACGAAAGCACAAGTGCCCCCAGAGGGACTCGGTTTAAGGTGACTGATCCTCAGTGATTTCAGACCCATCCTAAACGTCTGTCTGACTTTAAATGCTAAATCAGTATCTATTTTCTTTATGGAGTGACTCGTCAGAAAGCCAAATTTTATGAGATTAAAATTTCCACTTCCATTTTACTTTTGTACCATAAAAACCACTCACAATAGCTTTCAGAAAGTTCCTTTTCATTGCCTGATGCATCCAGCTTGATGGATTCTTAACGGGTCCAGCCCTGAGTTTTACAAAATTAGCAGACACTACACAACCTCTGCATGTCAGCTAAGAGAGCTCTTCTCCAATGCAGGTCACAGGCAATGAAGAAGAACAAAACAGAAGTCCTCAGGCAGTACCTGATCTCTTTCCTCTTTCAGTCTTTTTACAAACTATTGGATTCAGGAGGGTCAAAGGAGACCCCCACTTCCTGTGTGATTCACACACTGATTCAAAGAACAACTCTTGGTTGGATTTACACTTCCTCTTGCTGGGTTCACAAATACCTCCAGCACCCACTGCCAGAAGTTTCCTTCTCCTGCCCCCGCACGCACTGCCAAGGCAGTGCTCCTGCCTGGATTCGGGATGAGCACGCTAAGCTCATTTTCCTGTGCAGGATTCATGTCAGCTGTCCTGCTGCAATAAATCTGCCCCACACCAGAGCTTTCCGAGAAGCAGCCCATAAGCCCAGAGCAACCTATTACCTAGAAGAAGGCAAGTTCTTGTTAATTCCACTGATGCTCAGAGCTTCAGCACACTCAGCTACGTTCTCAAAAGACAAAATGCACCTTATTTTCTATGTCCCCTATCACGCAGTCCTCTAGCCACGACACCCTGGGAAGTGAAATTAAGATGCACAGTGTTTCCAGTCAGATTTCTTAGAAAGCCGAAGCCTTTTCCTTCCATCTGTACAGACAACGATTAAAGCATCATCATGATCAGTCCAATTTCCCTTATTTTTGATTTGGAGGAATTAAAAAGATTGTACTGAAAAGAACCAGCTCAATTAGCTGCCTACAGCCCTTTGTCTCTGGCATCAGCCTACAACAGCTTCACCTATGTGGGCTGTCAATGCATCTGAACAGCTTCAGACAGGAACTAGGAAAAGCAGAAACAAGCATTTGAGTCCAGAGCTGGGCAAGGATTGCCCATCCCAGACCTCATTTCTCACAGAACTGAAATACCTTTCCCTGCCCTCTCTGTGCCAGACTTCTTCGCTAATGTCTTCATGCAATGTCACAGCCTTTCTCTGAGCTAACTTCTCAGCTGCAATTGCACATGCAGGATGCTGAATGTGATGGCACACCTCTGCTTTCCACTTTGCTGCAACTGAGTATTTTATGATTGGTTTGTGATTTGCAAGATTAAAAAAAAACCAAAAAACCAAAAACCGAAACACCAAAAACAAAAAAGAGGAAAAAAAAAAAATCAGCAGAGAAGATAAAAGTGGAAAAGAGAAGAAAAAAACAACAACAAACACACATTGTAATAGGGAGAAAGATACAAATTCCAAATGGCATACCATAGAGTTAAGCACTGTACTTTTACCCTCCGAAAATAGGGAGGCAGTGGTTCTCCCCCTACTCAGGTACAGGTAGGCTTCAACAGAAAGAGAGAGACTTTATCACACTTGCATCAGAAGCAGATGTTCATCTTTTCAATTTAAAACAACCTCCTCAAACTGGTTACAGGGGACAACACATCTTTACAAATAAGCATGGACTTGGTGTCTCACCATTCATACATTTACATGAGACTCCACGTAGCCAGAAAATATTTTGTACTCATTCTTAGGGAACGTTTACAGTTGCCTTTTGGAGCTGTCAGAACATACCAAGTCACCCTTGTGCCGTATATGTTGCATTTTCTGCAGCAGGCAACCAAAAGCTTAGCACAAAAGGTAGAACTAACCTCCTGCCTGTACTTGCCCGACTGAGATGAGGTCGCCTCCTGAATCTCTCCCTCCACCATGGCTCCTTCCAAGCACTCATTCAAGTCTCGATAACCGTTTACCTGAAGGGGATACTGACCGAAGGTTTCAATCTTGGAAAAGGTATTGCCTGGATGACAGAAAGGATACAAAGCCCATGAGTGAAACTGAGACAACAAAACACTCTGGTTAACTCAAAGAGTTTGTTGCCAGCACCAGTTAGAGGCACTACTTGCAAGAACTGACTCACATGTAGCTGCTCACACGTCTGTCAGCATAAGCCTCCTTACAATCAACTGCTTTCAAAACATGGGCACTTGCGAGCATTTAATGTCTTCAGAAGACAGATTTTGTAAATGTTATGGTCCATTTTATCAAGACCATTTGCAAGTTTACAGAATGAGGCAGTTTGGTTGGGAATGTGCAACAAAACCCTGTGTCATCGCTGCTATAGATTAAAACACTCAAAGGAGCTGAGAAGGGAATCTACCAAAGCCTCAACTCACCCTCATGGACACCCTCAGTCAGGAAAGTCCCATAGAAAAGCTGTACCATTGGGTTTTCAGACTTGTCCTCGGGGCTTCTGTTTCAGAAAGAAAAAGCACACATGCATTTGCTGCTGAAGGCTGCAGAAAAGCCCCAGTCATAATCTAAGCCTTGGCCTGGGAACCTGTCTACAGTCCCCAAAGTTTTATATCCAAGCACAAAATACAGAGGGATCTTCTCATGCTCAAAAGCACATTATAACACTTACACTGGCAAAGCAGGCTGGAGGTTACAGCACTACCTTTGGAAATACAGTTCCAAACCCCCAGATCTTCCATGTAGGCTGGTTCTGCTGAGCTCCCCTAAAAAGCTGATTTACCCTGCAAGCCATATGGGCATTGATCGAAGTCCTACATACAGGAAATGTAGATGTAACACTTCATGAGCACATTTTAAGCTTAAGGAGCATCATCCTCACGCAACAAGGAACTCTCATTTACTCCAAGTTTTTGTGTAAAGCCCTCTCATTTATTGAGGCATCACATTTCAAATCTGTTTCTCCTCAGCATCAGGTCAAACTCCCATGATCACAGAAAACTCACTTGACATTCACAGTGAGCTGGAACGCATCCTCCAGCCAGTCCAGCAGTTTGTGTGTAAATTCACTCACATCTTGCTAGAAGAGAGACAGAAGTCGAGAGTCAAGCGTACTAGCAACCAGCGAGCACCTTCACGGGCTACTGGTCTCGCCCCCCAGCAGCATATGACCCGAGCGGTGCTGCTGTGACCACCCCACTGAAGGAAGCCTGCAACTGAAGTGCTGCTTTAGACCCATAATGAACACTCTGCTCGTCTGAAAACTAGATCAGAGGGAATTACTGCGATGGCTCCCCAACGGCCCAGCTGGCGCTGGCAGCGCACTGCTACGCTGCCTGTTTAATTAGCAAGCATGTACATTTCCCCTAAATGGCACAGGGACAGCTGCTTGTCGCTTGACAAACATGGGAAGAGGCCTCTGAAAGCCATAGTGGGATGAAGTGAAATAGGATTGTTGTGGCTGCAACTGCTGCTCTGAAGAATGCAAAAAGCTTTTCAGTGCGGTTTTACCTGCTGTTCCTCAGTGGTTCTGAACGCACCCTTCAAGAGTTCCAGTGCTGCAGAAGGGTCAACAAACTTGCGCCGGGTCCCCAGCATTAAGGCAAACAGACACTGAAGTTCTTGCATGAATGCAACATTTCTTTTTCCCTGCATTGCAAAAAGAAGAAAAGCCAAACCCTTCCTGCAACTCAAAAGAGAGCATCTTAAACCAAAGTGCTACAGAACACCACACCCCACACCCCCCCAGGAAGTATGCTAACAGCCAAGGGAAGAGGTGCCATTAAAAGGACAAAGCAGAAGGACATGCAGTGGCATTTCTTGGAAGCAAGAGGGATGCATGTGAGACACAAAATCAATCAAAACAAAACCTTAAGACACAAGAGCATCAGAAGTAACACTTGCTACAACAGAAGGCAGAAGCTGGTGAATTTATGCATTTATTCTGTCTACATTTGAGGATTTTTGGAGCATGAAGAGCACACAGGGACACAAGTAAAGCAAAGTCTCTTAAAGAGCAGCAGCCACAAGCCAGAACGATGCAACAAGCGAAGGGTTATTCTCCATGTGCCTTTTGCTCTTAACATCTTCTAAGCACTTTCTGCTGGGTTCTTTCAGCAGGTGCTGGGGCTAGAGGGACCCTCACAGCCTGGCTCAAACACCAGTTCTTCTACAGTGCATACAAACAAGCAAACGGTCTGGAGCTACTGAAGAAGTTGTATGGCACAAATTCCTCCCCCAGCCACAGTTAGAAGCTCTAGAGGAAAGCTTTATGAGAAGCATCTTATTTATTTTCTACAGTGACTGTGTCTTTGAAAAGCATTTCCCAAATTTATCTTTAACACAGCCTGACAATTTGGAAGCCATTAACACAGGCACAGGGGTCTCAGATGGCCCCAAATTAAATCTGCTTAGGGAAGGAGCGGAACAGTATACTGCAACAGAGGGAACTTTACAGTGTCTCTTGATGAAAACTTACAGCGCGAGTGTGACAGCTTTCGAGCACATGCTGTGGGAGGGAGTACCCAAGGACCAGCCTCCGAAATTCTGGTAGCTGAAACAGAGACTGAAAGGAGAAGAGAGGCAAAGAGCAGTCAGTGTCTGCGAGGATTCGACTCACTGCCCCAGTGACACTCTTTTACCCAACAGCTTTCTCGTTAACTCCTGATTCTTCGATGGCCTCGTGTTACTAAATAAATGTTCAAGTGAGCAGTCTGTGTGCTGGACCTGCACATTTGTACCCACCAGGGAACAAAATCTCATCCTGCCATTTCTGGGAGATACATAGATATATAAAACCATTTTAGGAAAGAGTATTCTATTTCCCATAGGCAAGCTTAGGAAAAACATCCAGGAACAAGTCCCAGTGAGAAAGGGGCCCCATTTGAAGCTTTCTTACTTCCTCTCAAAGCTGGAGACACAATTAATGTCTATCTGATGATGTGAAATGGTTAGAAGAGACCAGTCTCCTCAGTTCCACTTACTGCTGTCCCTTCTTGCTTAGGTTATCACTAATAATATATGCTGCCTTGCTGCTTATGCGTTCCAGCATCTATGCCAGCGTATTCCATTAACTGGAATACGATACACCGTGTATTATGGAGCCAACAATAACTGCGGTGAAATTAAATTATCAGTGCACTTTGCCAGTCCAGCTTCTGTCATTCAGAAAGCATTTGGACATCACCACACCAAAACCCCTGCGTCCGTACGCATAGATTATATGTATCTCTATCTATAGTTACACAAAGTCCATTTAACTGCTCTTTGGCTCCTTCTGTGCACACCCAGGATAAATCACAATCGTATCGAATCAAACCAGAAGTCTCACTTGAGCAAGGACTCACTCACTCTTCCACAATGACCTCAGGATGACCACTTCACAGAGCTGCTCCACATTTATTTCTGACTGATAAACACTTTGACTCCAGGACATTCAATTACCTGTATGACGGCACTAAACCAGCACGTATTTCCAATGTTTTTCATCCCAACAGGCCAGTCGCCCACTCTCCTCCAGTCATTGTGCTTGGGGTTCTCTCCCCAGACTTCACAGCGTTTTCTTTTGGAGCGGCTTTTGTTTTCAGCAGAATGTGCTTCCTGTGGCCTGTCACAAAAGATACAGACTGTGCTGTGAAACACCATCTCACACAGGCTCTCCACAACTACAGCTGCACCCTCCTCTAGCCACGAGTGGAACATTAGAGCTGGGTGCTGTCGGATGACACCCAGCACAAGGGGCAGCAGATGTATTATCCGACTCCAGAGTCAGGTAACATAGGAAGGTTTTACTTTGCAAACTGGCTGCACAGAGAACTGGTGGCCTCAGTCATTACTGGAGGCAAATTTGACCCACAGTAAAAAGGAGACAGCGAGGAACTGACAGGAGGGAGGTGAATCAACATGTGAGACTTTAAGGTGTTTCTGCAATACGTGCTGTGACACCAGTGCACTCGACTAGGCCACCTTGAAACCTGCCCTTTCTGCTTCAACCATCATGCTGCAGCGCTGCCCCAGACATAAAGGTCAATTACCCAGAGGCAGTCATGACCCAAGCACCTTCTAAAAGCAGAAGTCATACATTGGATAGGCAACTTCAGTTCGTTTTGCAGTAAACAGGTTAAGAATCCGCTTATGATACCCAGGAAAACCAAACCTGATTCATGGAGCCACTGACCTCTCGGGAGCATCCCTCTCTGCAGCCTGAGTTTTTGGTGATTCCAGTGGTCTCAAGGTGTCAATCACACGGAGGTCGTCTTTGTTGTTTGAGGTAGCTGCAGTAGTAACATCTAGAAGCAGAGGAAGTGTTCAGTTTTCTCTTTAAAAGGAACTTCTAGAAAGTGTTACACTTTACAAATATGATTTTTCAGCTGACGCAAGCGTCATTTTTCTAGGTCGGCCTTTAAATACAAATCCTTGTAGCTTGGATCATGCCAGGGAACCTAAAAAGCCACTCAGTGGGCTGGATGAGCACAGGACAGACCTTGCAGCTGTCTGCTGGCCAGATTTCCTTACAGCCAAATTCAGAGCTTGAGGGAGCATTGCAAACCTCTTGAAATAATGAAACAGGCACCTCAGCTGCTGCTTGTATTAGCTATGCCCTGGCATAGTGCTGACAACTGACATAGGATTGCAATGAAATCAGCATGATCACGGAGAATTGCCTTCCTCCACCCGTGTCAGGATGCTCGGCTATGAGCCATTTCACATCCTAGTTATATAGGGAAGGAGGAGAAAGGGAAAAGAGTCTTCCTGGAAAGGGTAGAAGCCTTACATGGCAGAACAAGGGGTAGCCGCGCTGTTCCGGCTGTTGCTGCGAGGTTCCCAGCACAGACATTTGGCACTGTGAACCTGCCTTGTGATGCTATCACTCAGGAAAGCTCCAGTTAATAGATGTGTCATTAGCAAAAAGGCTTAAAGAAACTATTCTCAGCTACCTCAGTCCACAGTGACACTCCTCACATCTGAACATACCAAACTGACGTCTGCTTCTGCCAATACCCGTGATGTTTATAGGAACAGTTTTCACGTAGTCAAATTGCTGGCTCAAACATTTTAAGTTTCATCAAAATACGACAGCAAACACTCAGTGTGCCTGCTCTGCCAGCAGATGCTGTCAAAGGCAGTGTATGCCTTGACAGGGATTCCCTTCTCCATTCCGCTTGCTCTGCTTTAGGAGCTTTCTGGGATTTCTGTGCTAGCCAACACCAACTGTTTAGAAGGAGGGTGGCTTTGTAACTGTGATGCGTCATCTACAGCCTCTGTTAAACCCCTGGTAAGTCACTTCCCTCCAGGGATGCACTGGTGGAGGCAGGAGGACCACACTTCCCCTTCCAGCTCAGGCTGGAACATGTGAACGTGCAGGGGTGAGCAGAGGTGAAGGACTTACTTTGTGGGGGCTGTTTGCCCGCCGCGCTCCCTTCCCAAGCGGACGGCTCTGCAGCAGCCACATCCCGAGCTGGCTCCTGGGCATTCTCCTCCGTCAGGAAGGTGACTGCTTCTGTCAGGTCTCCATTAGCAGCCTAGCAGTATGGCAAGGGAAAACAAACCCATAGTGGCAGGGTTATTTCATGCATGCTTTCATGGCATTTAATGCATCTGGGGTAGAGACAGACACACTACCACCAGCTGTGCTTTCCCTGGCCATGGAGTGAACTACCTGCTGGTGCCAAGCAGGAGTAAAAGCCCAAAAGAATGAAGGCCAGAATGTCTCTGTCAAAGCACTTTGGCTTTGTTACTAGACAATGTAGACTCCACTAACTAATTTCATTTCCCTAACAAGAGATCCCCTTACAAGAGTCACAGCAGGCCTGAAGCACAACAAGGCACTCTGCCACCACAAGAGACTCCCAGTAATCAAACTCTCTGTGGATTTCAAGACCTTACCAAGTCTCCTACCAATCCAGGGCTTTCTTCAGAGCAGCACTACAGGCTTTAAATGTATTCTAACATCTTCTGGACATTACTGCTTAATGAGATATTTAAGGATTTTGTTAAACAAACCTCTCTGTGTATTACCAGCACAAGCCACATCCTGCTGCTATGTCTTAAGGAAAGAGATGGAATGCACCTGATGATTCGAGACTGATGCAGTTGCAACCACTTTAAGTCCACAATTTCTAAATTCCAGAGCACGCATAAAGAGGAGGAATCCCTCCAGGTAAATATTGCTTCTCCAAGCACCTGAGATTCCCATGTCCCCTTGCATTGGAGCAAAGACTGTCCTGGTGACAGACAAGACGACCACCAGCCACGAAGCTACCGATGTTCCTGCAGCTGTCTACAGCTCCCACAGCAGTTTACATGGAGAAAAATCTCCTCTGACCTGCTGGGTGTGTGTTTACCATCCCTGGATAACAGCCCCGTGGGAGCAGAACTCCCAGGAAATGTTTATGAAGTTTTAGCCCAGCACACATTACTGCAGTACAGGTTTTAAGGTCCATTGCTAGAACAATGAACTGCTCTCCCTGCTTAATGCGGGGCTTTCACTTCAGATGCGGGTGAACACCCCTGTGAGCCCCAAAACCATGTGGACAAATGCTGGCCTGGCATCCCTGCCTGCCTCACAGGTATTCCTGGACAAGGCACAAGCGAGGGGCAGAAAAGCAGTGAGGATTTGCCCACAGGACCTTGCCTGACTCTCGGGTCTCCTTTACCACACAACAATGACAACAGGCACCAACCTTTAGAGCCTCATGAAGGAAAGCGGAGTCTTGAATTCCTGTGATCTCTTTTAGCTGGTCTAAAAGCATCTGGCAGTCCTATGTGCAAGAAATAAAGAAAGCTTACGTGAAAAGGCGACCAGGACAGACATCAAGCTGTTTCTGCAAGGCTTGCCGAGGGCTCACCGGAGTATTGCTTCTTCCTTTCCCTTTTACTGACAGCTTGACGCAAAATCCTGCTCACACTTGCTTGATGGTAACACCACCACCAGCTTCAACATCGCACTCAGATCTTACCCCCCTAAACCTGCAGGCTGAGGTTCAAGCTGTTCTACCCCCTCGAGGACGGCAGAAGGCCTGAGAGGCTGTGGGATGCTGGGCACCTGCGGTGGGAAGGGGCAGCCCTCCCCCCGGGAGCCCGGCATGTGCAGCAGGACATATAAGGAGGCCGCCTGCTGCCGGGGCATCGGCGAGGGGCTATTTTAAGTCTGGCTGCACATGCCATTTGTGCATGTCATTTCTCACTGACAATGAGGTGTCAGGAGAGGGGCCCGGGAGGCTGCGGTCGCTTCTCCTTCCCCCACCACGCAGCCGCTCGAGGCCTGGGGAGAGACTCACTCAGGCCCTAAGCCATGGTCAACAACCTGTTCTTTAGCTCAACCCCTTAAAATAAACGATGACAGAAATGCTGTTTCCCGGACGCAGGAAATCTCCGCAGCTTTGTCTTACCACAGACGCAGCCCCCTCAGAGGGGCCCCCCCAGCAGCCAGCCCCGATGCCACAGGTCCCACCACCTCCCTTCCATGACCACTGTTCAGCTGCAACACCGGTATCCCACGGGAAGGATGTTACAGCAGGAAAACCAGCCAGGCTGCATCACATCTGCCTGATTTCTAAAGGCCATCCAGGACCTTGCTGTCAGCACAGGCCAGTGAATCCCAGCTCCTGAAGATCATGTTTAATATTAACTGGATGGATAAATTCATGTTTCTACTTACTCTCGTCACTGGGAGACAATGTAAGATGCTTTCATGCCGCTGGAGCTTGGGTTCCACCCAGGTACCTACTTCTTGGGCCACCCACCCATAGTGCTGACAGATACTACTCCGTGCACAAATATGACAAAGGCAGCATGCAAGAAAATGGTTAACTCACAAAAAAGTCCTCCACTGTTTTCTGGTAGGAGCTCCCCTGCAAGTTATTCCCACCTGAAATCCTACTTTCGTTCAACTTGTACAGGATGTGCTGGAAAGCCTCAGGCCCAGCCGGCAGCATGGTGAGGAACACCATGCCAAGGAGCAGGGGTACAGGGCTCAGGGCATACATACCTCCACAAAGGCAAAGCACTGACATCATGTTGCTAATTCTGCTGCCTCAGCAAGCAGCCAACCCCACCAAAGGCCGCAGGGCACGTTTTTCCATCGGAGCAAAGAACCCTGGCTAAGAAACCGCACTGCAGAACGAGATCTGGGGCAGGACAGGGCATGATTTCTGTGCTCCACCAAAAGCAGACTCACAAAGTGCTGTAACCACAAGAGCTAATCACAGATCCGCTACCACCAAATGTACTAATGATTTCCAGCACAATTTAATTCAGCTTTTGAGAAGGAAGGTTTGTGTTAACAGTGGAGAGCTCATCCTGTGCAACCAGTTCCGAGGGGCAGCCCACAGAAGCCACTGGGAGCCACGCTCTGCACAGCAACAGCGAGCAGTTTTCGGGGAGCACACGTGGCTTTGTTGCTCTGACTGTTCTGGCTGGGGCTGTTTGAGGTTATGCGCCGCAGTGCTTTAAAACAAGCTCCAGAGCTGGTAATTAACACCAGCGTGCTGCCACTATTAACATAAGCCACACAGAAAAACCAAACCAAAGCTCTACCTGCCAGAAAAATAACAACCTGGACCAAAACACTATCAGTATTAAATTACAGCAAGAGGAGAGACGTGCACAACCAAGAGTCTGAGAGGAAGGAGGGCACTGGAGGTGAGAATTCCACGCTCGGCCAGCAAGGGATGGCACAGAAAGCTTTTGCCCTTTTCCTCACTCAAAAGTGACTCACTGGGCTCAGAAGTAGTTTGTTTTGATGTGAAGCTGGAAGCAGGGAAGGGTCTGAGCGTGGCACAGGAGCTCAAAGCGGTTCCAGAAATAACCACAAGCAAAGAGGAGGAGGAGGAAGGTGGTGGAATGGAAGAGGCCCGCAGACCCAAAGCGTTCAGCCTCAGCACTTCAGCTGCACTTTTTATCGCAGCAGGGAAATGGATTTGAAGAGGACTAAAACCAGAGAGGCAGCAAACGATGCCGGACCAAGGCTTTTACCGACCAGTACCCATCACGGGAAGAAGCAGCGGCCGGCGAACAACTCCTCCACCGACACGTGGTCCTGTGCGTCGTCCTGACATCGTCCCCGCGCAACCGGGAACCCGCAGCCGCACAAACGCCTCTTTCAAACGCACAACGGGACTGGTGCCCTCTTCCCACTCCCGCTGGCCTCTCGGAGGCGCTTCCCTTGCATCCATCCCAAGATGCCACCGCAAAGTGCAAACACCGGTGTAAGCTGGGGCCGGGCCGG